TTCAGAAAAGGCCTCACACAGCCAGTGTGACAAGCGCTGGGTGGATAACGGGCGACCTGCAGATGCTTCTCTATAATGCACAAACAATTGTTGAATTTGACGCATTACAGCCGTGCGCGCTATGTAACACATCAACGCCCGCACCGGACAGAGAAGATGAAAAGATGCTTCTTCCTCTGATCTGTGGGGGGGTGGAGAAACCCCTCCAACGATATCACTCTTGATTTAAAAGAGCTCGTGATGTTTTAGGCATAAAAGCTGGGTTTGGTCTTAAATCAGCTGAGCTGCCTGTCAGCCTGAATTCTAAGGCATGACGAAGCAACAGAGAGGGCAGATAAATTACTTACCCTCTTAGCGGGTGTTAAAGCCATCAGCAGGGCTGTTTTAAGAGACAAGAATTTAAGTGAAAACCTGATCCAGAGGCTCAAATGGAGCTTTGATCAGGGCTCGCAGGACCAGCGTTAAATCCCACTGTGGAGCAAGTGGGCGTGAAGCAGGCCTGCGTCTCTGTACACCTTTTAGAAAAACGCTTCATCAGCGGGTGATTAAAAGCTGTCCTGTCTCCGAACCCTTCGTGGCAGGAAGAGATGACTGCAACGTACGTTTTAAACGTACTGAATGCCAACTTCCTATCCATCAGCTGTTATAGAAAAGACAACACGCCGCCTAATGGGCATGAGGTGGCCTCTAAACCTTTCTCTGTACACTAGCGCTGAAAAGCCGTCCCCTTTGATGTGTACAGAGCTGTGGTAGATGCAGCACGTGAATCTTGAATTGTGCACACTATCTCCTGAGGGAGACCCATCCTCTCTAAGCGGGACCGCTCAGCGGTCAGACCCAAAGGTACTGACCTATTTCTGGGTAACTCCTGATCGCTCCTCCTGCTTGAAGGAGAGCATCCTCCCTCCACGGCAGTTTCCACGGACGACCCGACAACAGACGTTGCAGGACTGGGAACCATGGTGCGTTCACGCGCTCGGGAGCTACCAGGAGAGCTGTCAATCCCTCCTCCTAAACTCGGTTCAGGAACCGTAAAATCAGAGGAGGTGGGGGAAACGCGTACAGAAGCGTTTTGGGCCACGGGCTGTGAGCAAATGCATCCACCCCCAGCGGTGGATCGTCTCGCGGGCTCAGGGAAAACCATAGTTGACACTGAGCGTTCTCTCGCGTCGCAAACAGGTCCACAGCTGCTTTGCCAAACTTCTGCCACGTCTGAAACATCAGGTCTGGATGGAGGGTCCAGTCCGCGTGATGTGGGCCGCCCCTGGACATCACATCTGCCCCTCTGTTCAGAACACCGGATATGTAAACCGCTCTGATGGAGAGCAGGTTTTGGTGAGCCCAACACAGTAGCTTTCGCGCAATGTGTAACATCTGGGCTGAACGCACACCCCTTGGCGGTTTATGTACGCAGCAGTCACCATGTTGTCTGTGTGAATCAACACGTGTTGATTCTGTAGCACAGGAGCAAAGTGTTGAATCACATTCAGCACTGTGCGACACTCCAAAACATTGATGTGGGCTGATGTGTGGTGGGGCCACAGCGCCCCTACTGCTTGGGATAGGCATGTCCCCCCCCAACCTGACAGCGACGCGTCCGTGAAGACTGACACGTGTGACGTGGGTCTGCTGACGGGGACTCCCTCTGACAGAACCAGGGTGTTTCCCCAGTGTTGGAGGTCTGCTCTCACAGAGGAAGGGACAATGATCATCCGTCTTTTTTGTTTTAGTGGATCCACACGCAGACGCGCAAACCACCTCTGGAGGCGTCTCATGTGTAACAAACCCAGCGGAACCACTGTGTGAGCTGATGACATCATTCCCAACAGCTTCATGACGGAGACAGCTGTTATCACTTGCCAGGTCTTACGTGGCGGAGTTGACTTTTAAAAGTGTTGAATCTCGTTTGTGATAAACAAGCCTTCATGGTGGTTGAATTTAATTCCACTCCCAGATAAACAATCGTCTGGGCCGGGAAAATCAAGCTTCCTTCCAATTTATGGCGAAGCCCAAATTTAACAGGTGTGATGTCAACACCTGATCCTGCATCAGCGCCTCCTGTCTGGAGTGACAGGAGCAGCAAATCATCCAGGTAAAACAAAAACTCTCGTCTCTGTGTTTTGGGATGATCGGTATGCATTCTCTGGATGTTGTACAACAGGTCCAAAAAACGGTCTCATCCCTCCGATCCGTGAGTAAAACCCTGTGTTTCTCTCCGTTGGGGGACTCTGGAGATTACTTTTATCAGAAACACTTGGACTTCTGCATTTAGGGATGAGATTTGGTCTGATGATGACAGGACCGTTTCTATAACTCCTCTGAATGGAGGGGTTCGGGTTGCAAACTGTAACTTGTAACCATTTGCATAACACCCTGTCCATCCATCTGAAACAGCGAGCATGTTTTAGCCACTTTACGTAACGTTCGTAGAGTGAACGTGCGTTTAAGTGATGTGACACGTTTTGTACGGCTGTCAGCAGTCCGCCCCTCAACCGCCGTCATGCGTCGCGGGAATGTTTTCTGCGTGACCCAAGGCGAGGCTTGTGCTGAGGCGAAGCGTGTGACAGCTGATGACGCGGTGGGGCTGCGCGTTTGACGTCGCTGTGCGAACGTTGAAAGGCGGAGGGCGTGACTTCATTTACGCCGTGCTGTTGGAGTGAAGGCTGCTAGCCCCGCGAGAGCACACGTTTTCTCTGGAGGGACGCGCGCCGCTCTCGCTGGAGGGGCGCGCGCTGGAGGGAGGCGGGACTCATCACCGGGTTCGTTCAGCTGCTTCACGCTTTATGCTGCCGTGAGCTGCCGAACGCTGAGACGCGGTGGGTGACGGCTGCCCGCGTTTGATTCGTTGAGACGAGTGTCGCTTCTTGTGAGAGTGAAGGACCTCCACCCGAACCAGCCTGCGGACCACATTTATACCGATGTGAGCCGGTTTGCGCCGGGCAGCTGTGTGTGTGCGCCAACATCAACGCAGCGCCGTTGGATGGAGGCTGTTTTATCCCACGAGTGCGAGTTGACACCGCTTGAGTGAGGATCGTGCAGCT